TTGGCTCCAATCGACTTTGGTAGTGGGGCCCCTGATTTGGGAATTCTAATGCAGTCTAAAGATGATGACAAGGACTGGAAAATAACTGAGAAAAAAACTCCAACTAAATCCACTGGACCTACAGCTGACCATTCAACAGGCTCAGGGTATTATGGATATTTGGAAGCATCAGGAATAGCCATTGGAAGTAGGGTATGTCTTTTTGTTTAAAGCAAGGCGTGATTTTGCAGCTCTGAAATCAACAAATTGATGAGTGCCTTCCCATTACAGTTAACCTCTGACTAGCTAGTAGCATTTAGATTGCTTTTCTGTACAATTTGTCAGTACCTGTGGTAGTGGCCTCATGGGTAGTGCACTTGCCTCTGGATCAAGGGGTTTGGGTTCAAACCCTGGCTGGGGACATTGTGTTGTGTTCTTACCTCCCACAGTGCCTCTTTCCACTCAGGTGTATAAATGGGTACTATCAAATTTAATGCTGGGGGTAACCCTGCGATGGACCAGCATCCCATCCAGTGGGGAGGGGAAATACTCCTAGTCGCTTCATGCTACAGAAATCAGAGATGATAGGCCACTTGGCTTGTATGCAGACTTTACCTTGTCAGTAACTAAACCAGAGCTATGACAACTTTTGTTAATACTTGAGACTGACTCATTTTTATACTCCTGTGTGGAGAGATACAGTCATACATGTCAGAGTGAAGTGTTTTGCCCGTGAATGTAAGAAAAATAAATTTTTTTCTCCTGTTAATTTCTAAAAATTTAAGGCCTGGTTCAAACGTCGAACTTTTCATGAGCCAAACCTAATAGCACCAATTAAGTACATGACAAGATTGATGTTTGAATCAATTAAGTTCAACACGTTCGACCCAAGAATTAAGTTCGACATGGCCAGTCGGTCAGTTCGACTACGGAGCGACTCCGATTCAATCGTCGAACTTTTCATGTACCAAACCTAATGCATACATTACAAATACATTAAATAAATTATTTTTTACCCAGAGTTCTGCATGTTTCCCATTTTTGTCATGCGTACACAGCTTGTTTTGATCTTTTGGAACAAATGGTGGGAAGAGCGGGAAGAGCAGAAAGATATGTGTTCCTCTTGGTTCAAAGGCACAAAATATACTTGCTTGATGTGCATAAACCACTTCTGTTTGCAGTGTTCCGTATTTGAAAGCGATAAGAGTGTAGCGGGTTGGAAAGCAGGCAGTC